CGGGTGGAACTGGGGCCTTCCCGCCAGCGGCTACCACGACGACGCGGAGGCACCTCTCGTCCCGGTGAGGGATGGAGCGAGGGGGTGCAGGACAGGGCCCCGAGTCCAGGGAGGATATTCCTGGCCAGTGAGGAGGCCAGGAGGCCGGGCCGGCTGAGGGTGGCTGGAGTTGGATCCGGGAGAGGGTCCGGGCAGAGAGCCGACCTGCGCTGCCCGTCCGGGACGTGTGCCAAGAGCAGGGCAAGGGAGCGCGGCCCAGAGCCCTGGTTGTGCAGGGCTGGCGCTGAGGAAGAGCTAGTACCCTCCCTGAGCGAGTCCTACCTCCCCGACTGGGGTCCCCAGCACCGCTGTCAGTGGGCAGCCTTTTAATTCAGCCCTGGGGCTTTTGACTTGAGCCTCCAGCCTATGGATTGGGTCAGGGCCTCCCTCAGGATGCTAGAGGTGGGCAACAACACTCTTGGGTGTGGGCCCTCGTAGGTCCCAGGTTTCCTCAATGTGACTTGGGCAAGGGGGTTTGAGGCCATGGTGATGGTGTGCACAGTGTCTTTGCAGATGGGACAGGCAGACCAAGTTGGAGTCGGTGGATCGTGGGTGGAAGCATGAAGTTCATATCTTCAAAATAACCTTTCTCTGAAGGGCCCCTAGAAAGGGCTCCCCTGTTCAGAGAGGTTACTGACAGAGCTAGCCTTATAGTGGCTGAGATTAGACACTGATACTGGGGAGAGATGATAACTATTTGCAACTCAAGACCCCTGTGAGAATTGATGTAAATGAACAAAAACTAATATTGAGAGACTACTAGGTGCAATGTAGGGGTGCAGCAGGAAATGTAGAGATGATTAAGCTCTCTAAAGGCAGCATAAGAGCTAAAGTTTACAGGAGGAGATGGACATGGAACCATAAGACAGAAAAGATTTTTTTTGAGCACCCTTTGCACTAGGCTCTGAAGGGCAGTACAGGTTAATCAGACTCAGGCATTGCTCCCAGGGAGTTTAATCTCTAATAGAAATAAAATATGGACACAACAAATGCAAAGTGAGCAGGATATTGCTTGATGACTTGTGATACAGAAAAAAGTAAAGAAGAAAAAAAGATATTCAAAAAAAGGACCCTCCCCCCCCCACGAAGTGGGCAGGATAATTAAAATGCTGTAGGAGGTCAGGAGGGTGGTTAGGGAAGAAATGGGGGCAGGGGGAGCAGGGTGTGAGGGCAAGATCCAAGGAATACTGTGTGAAGAGAAGAGGAAGTGGTGTGGGAGTGGGAACATCTGACACTAGGAGATTGGACGGGTTTTCACTGAGGAGGAAGGAAAGCCTTTCCAGTTCCAGCTAGCTCACTATCCCAGCCCTTTTCTGTTGTCATTGCCCTGGCCCCTCAGTAGCCCAGAAGATTTTTCTGGTGGATAAGTACCATTACCTTCTCAGCTTTTCAGTTGCTTATTTTTTCTTCTTTCCTACTCAGAAACCGACCAGAGGGCAAAGTGTTGGAGACAGTCGGTGTGTTTGAGGTGCCAAAACAGAATGGAAAATATGAGACTGGGCAGGTGAGTATTGGGCTGGGTCATCTTTAATCTTCATGGTGTCCTCTACTTCTCAAAGAAGTCAGCTTTGGTCACCGGCCTGTATGGTATGATTTTTCATTAATGCGACTTTGATGTTTGGTGCCAGACCAGAATCACCAATTTTTAAAGTTGGGGTTTCTGTTTCCTAGATTTGAAAGCATTTAATGTGCCAGTGGGTTCTCATTCCGAGTTAGTGTGGACAGGGATGGTTTGGACTATGGTGAGGAAAAGTCAAGTTGCTGAAGATTCCTTTAACATAGTGGGTAGCAGGAAGCCAGTGGAGGGAGCTTTCAGAAAAGTAAAACATTGATGTGTTGTCATAAAACTAATTGCAGTGAGGTAAGTTCTGGACATGAGAATCTTTTTGTATATCAGCTTTGTTCTGGGTCCACTGGGCTAGATATAGGCCCCTTATGGGTAAGGAAGACTTTTTATTCAACAGTTTTTTTTTGTGTGTTTTGGAGTCTCACTCTGTCGTCCAGACTGGAGTGCAGTGGCTGCTCCTGGCCACTACAGCCTTGACCCACTGGGCTCCGGTGATCCTTCCACCTCAGCCTTCCGAGTAGCCGGAATTACAGGCATGCACTACCATACCCGGCTGATTTTTTGATTTATTGTAGAGATGAGGTCTCGCCAAGTTGCCCAGGCGGGTCTCGAACCCGCGAGCTCAGGCAATCCACTCACCTCAGCCTCCCAAAGCATGGGATTACAGGCTGAGCCACCGAGCCCGGCTAACAGTTTTTTAATATACCTACAATGGACTAGGTATTGTGTGCTAGGGTTAAGCCAGAAAGCAAGGTAGACATGATTCCTGCCTTCATGGTGTTTACAGTCTAGAGAGGAATTAATGATATGTAAATGGTAAATGGCTATACACTGTGCTAAGTGGAGAGGAGGTCAGAGAAGGCTTCCTGGAGGCCTAAACTTTGACCTGCAGGATAGGTAGAGTCAGCCATTTAAAGAAGGGATAAGAGTGTTCCAGAGTTGGTCTGAGTTGATCACAGAGTTCAGGGGAAAGGTAGCAAGACTTTGTATGGGGTTGCCTCCAACTGTGCTGCTTTGTAGTCCAGGTCCCACCTGCATGGATTGCTGGACTGAAGACTCACTGAGGCCTCTCTTTCCTCCCAGCTTTTCCTTCATAGTGTTTTTGGCTACCGAGGTGTTGTCCTGTTTCCCTGGCAGGCCAGACTATATGACCGGGATGTGGCTTCTGCAGCTCCAGAAAAGTAAGTTCCCCTCATTGTCATTGTGCCTCATAGTGTCCCCAGGAGGAGGCCTGACTCATGGCAGGTATACATAATTGGGGTCCCCGGGGTGAAGACAGCCTCTTTCTGGGCATTAGAAACAGCCCCAGAGTACTTCTCTGGCACTGAAACCCATGGAGACAGATGTGCTGAGTGCCAGGGACAGTTTTAAGCCAGAGGGTCCCTTTAGGCCTCCCTAGAATGCTCTCCCAAGCTACTCTGAATTTTCTTTTCTTTTTTTGTGAGTTAGAGTCTCATACTGATGCCCAGCCTAGAGCGCTGTGTCACACTCACGGCCATCCCCGCCTCAACCTGCTGGGTGCTGGCAATCCTTCTGCCTCAGCCTTCCAAGTACAGGCGTGCGCTACAACAGCCGGCTATTATAGAGTTGAGGTCTCGCCAGTTTCCTGGGCTGGTCTTGAACCCGTGGGCTCAGGCAATCCACTCGCCTCGGCCTCCCAAAGTGCTGGGATTACAGGCTGAGCCACCGAGCTTGGCCTACTCCAAATTTTCATCATAAGTACTTCTGAGAGCATTTAGGGGACCATTTGTCTCGATTTCTTGATGTTCAGCTGCAATCTTTCCTTTAATTTCACATCATCACTCAAGTACATCAAAACAGAAAAGGTCCAGCTCCATTAAATGATCACAGGTAGCCACTGGGATGTGAGAAGAGAAGGGTATTCTGGGCCCTGGGGATTGAGGTGGCAGTTTGATTTTCCCCATCATGCCCCCTTCTTCCAAGAGGTATCCAGAGAGTAAGACACTTGATGACTTTGTACCATGGTCTTCCATGTTCATTGTTTGTCCCTGACTGGGGAGCAGCTAGGCGGGGGTGTTGTTTAGCAGGTGTCTAGCTGGTGCTAAAGCCCTTTGGATCAGGGAGCAGTTGGTTTAGGTGAGGCAGTGGTAGGGAGCTGAATCAGGCTTCCATTTCTCTTGAGGTGATCTTGGGCTGCTTCTTTCACCCCACAGAACAGAGAACCCTGCTGGCCACGGCTCTAAGGAGGTGAAAGGCAAAACTCACACTTATTACCAGGTGCTGATTGATGCCCGTGACTGCCCACATATAGTAAGTAAGCAAGATGGCTGGGCCTGCGGGCCTCCCCGTGGAAACGGCCTGTACCTTGATGGGGATGAAGGGAGGGAAAGGGATCAAACAGAGCCCAGCTCAGCTCTGGGTCCCAATACTTCAGGACTGCCCAGTGGCCAGGGAAATCCCTGATTCACCTCTTACCTTAGTCTCAGAGATCTCAGACAGAAGCTGTGACTTTCTTGGCTAACCATGATGACAGCCGGGCCCTCTATGCGATCCCAGGTGAGTAGTTAGCATCTGAATGGTGCCTATCAAAAGGGGTCTAGTATGTCTCAGTGAGAAGATTCTGATGTCCTGTCATCTTCTGGGAGGGATTATGATGCTGATGATTGTGGTGCCAGGGATGTGACAAGGGCTAGAAAATGTTTCTTCTCAGCCTCATCTTTCTCCTCTTCTGTGTGAGCTTTACTGTCTCTTTGCCTCTTTATGCCAGGTCTGGACTATGTCAGCCATGAAGACATCCTCCCCTATACCTCTACTGATCAGGTTCCCATCCAACATGAGCTCTTTGAAAGATTTCTTCTGTATGACCAGACAAAAGGTAATCTCTTTAAAGGAGAGGAACTGGAATGGGAGGGCCCTTTCTTCAAATAAAATATCCTTGAAATAATTCCAAAGTTCTATTTCCATAACCCCCTTCAATCTCCCGTTAGACCTGTCAGATAGATGTTTGTTACTTCCTTACAGATATGGAAACTGAGGCTTAGGGGTGATGAGAAGTAACTCAGGATTGTTAGTAGCAGAATAAGGGGTGAAAACCAGGACTCTTCCCTCCCAGGCCAGTTCTTTTCCCATGATATCATAATACCTCCTCAGGGCGTGTTCTTGGGAGCAGTCCCATGCCTTCTTCCAGCCTGTACTTTGGCTTCATATGTGGGTATTCTATTTGCCTGGGCCACCACTGGGAAGGGTTTTCTAGGAGGGGCACCTGGAATGTGGGTGCAATACCCTAGACTCTGGCCTGGACTAACAAATTGTCTCTTGCTCCAGTACCCCCTTTTGTGGCTCGAGAGACGCTACGGGCCTGGCAAGAGAAGAATCACCCCTGGCTGGAGCTCTCTGATGTGCACCGGGAAACAACTGAGAATATCCGTGTGACCGTCATCCCCTTCTATATGGGCATGAGGGTATGTGGCCAGCCTGGGCTCCTTCCCACAGGGGTAGGCCCAGATTCTGTGTGGTGTCCCCTGTGTGACTCTTGGGGGGAGTCTAAATTTAAACTATGTCCCTGTGGTACTGCTTCCAAGCCATGCATGTGTTGGGTGGGGTTGAGTAGCCTATTGGCAATGGCTGATCTTAAGACCTGGAGCAGGGAAAGCCACAGGCCCCAGGAAGGAGTTTTCTATGCTGACTCTTCCTTCTTCCCTCTGGCTCAAAGGGAGCCATGTTTATGAAGCATACACATACTTGTTTAAATCAGTGTAGGCTTTACACTTTTTATGTTACACATGTTTACACATTGCCTGGCTGTAAGCTAGGCCCTGGGGATACAAACGTAAATAAAATACTGTCCCTGCCTTCCTGGAGCTCATGGAAGTGGGTGAGGCAGTAAGGGAGGGCAATGGGAGGACAGGGAGGAGGACAGGGGCCCAGGCCAGCCGTGATTGGGGGCAGGGCTGGCAAGAAGGGTGGTGAGAAAGGTAAGGACTCTATAGCTGATTTCCATTGGCAGCCAGCTCTGTTGGTGATCTGGCAGGATGAGGTGGGAGGCCAGGAATGGACACAGGGGAAGCTGCCAACAGGCTACTCAACTATTGTAGGCCATAGTTCAGTCTTCATCCTCATCCCACAGATATTCACAGCTTGGTATGTCTGCAACTTCCTGGAATACATCTATTGCATTGGAGAGATGTTGATCCCAACAGACTTGGTTTTGCCCTCTGGGACTTAAATTCTTTGTTTTTTCCCCCAGGAAGCCCAGAATTCCCATGTCTACTGGGTGAGTGTCTCCCTCAGGCTGCAGGGGAGCTCAGGAGGTGTGCTTGGGGGCCAGATTGGAGGTGGGGGTGGAGCCTGTGCAGTTTGGTGTCAGCCTTTGTTGCCTTTTGCTCTGCACAGAATTCTGGGTGGGGTAGCCCAAGGTCTACATTTTCTCAAACTCTCTCCTCAACAACCCACAGTGGCGCTACTGTATCCGCTTGGAGAACCTTGACAGTGACGTGGTACAGCTCCGGGAGCGGCACTGGAGGATATTCAGTCTCTCTGGCACCCTAGAGACCGTGCGAGGCCGAGGGGTGGTGGGCAGGGTGAGCGTCACTGCGCCAGTTTCTGGCCCAACCCAGCAGGCCTGGGGGCTTAGTGCATGTAAGGTTACAGACAGAAGCTCGCTGTGTCAACATATTGGGTGGTTTGGGGTTAGAAATCTTAGAACAATCCTGTGAGAACATTTCACAGATGAAGAGAGTGAGACTGAGAAATAACTAGCCCAGCTGGGTGTGGTGGCTTATGCCTGTAATCCCAGCACTTTGGGAGGTGGAGGCAAGGGGATTGCCTGAGTCCAAGGGTTTGAGACCAGCCTGGGCAACTTGGTGAGACCTTGTCTTTACAGTAAATAAAAAAATTGGCTGGGCATAGCGTTGTGTGCCTGTGGTTCCAGCTACTTGGAAGGCTAAGGCGAAAGGATCACTTGAGCCCAGCAGGTCGAGGCTGCTCTGGCTGTGAGCGTGCCACTGCACTGTGACCTGGTTGACAGAGGGAGACTCCTACTCAATAACTAGCCAGCCAGCCCACGGACCCAGAGCTAGTAGTGGTAGGGTCTGGATTTAAGTCCAAGTGAGTTGAAGCTAAAGCTTGCGTAATTATGATTGACTGACATAATGTCTTTTAAAGCCTGAGTTTGAATGCCCTTTGGTGGGGCACATACCCCTCAAACCCCCATGACCTTGCCTTTGCCTCTTTACATGTGTGCATCTTCTGCTAGTCCTTGAAGAAATTTGGTTTTATAATCCCTGACCACTCCACCCTGTCTCCTGAGAAATAAAGTCAAAAGTAGGACGGCTGCTAGGGGGGCCACATTCAACAAACATTTATCCAAGTCAGCAGGGATTAAGGAGGCAGAGTGGTAAAGTAAGAACAGGGCTTTGGAATTAGCTTGCCTGACTTCAGCTTCCAGGTGTGTTATTTACTCACTGCATAACTTTGGGTAAGCTGTTTAACCAAAATCTTAGCTTCTTACTGCTAAAATGGAGATCACACCGCTTACCTTATTGCTAGAATTAAATCAGCAGAGGTTTGGAGAGTACCTGCCGTGGTACCTGGCACTTAGCCCTTGTGAACGGATGCTGGAAAGGATGTTTGCCCGACACCTTTGCCTGGTGTCCTCGGTCAGTCAGTCAGAGATGATTTTCCCTAGAGTCAGAATAAAAGGCCCAGGCCAGTGACTGCTGTGGGAGTACCTGCTGTGGTGGCGGCTGGGTGGGGAGCGTCCAGTCCTGATGAACTGGCAGTCAGCATGTGGCCCTGGGGCGCAGGCAACATGTCTTAGGGAATTGGCCTGACCCATTTTGCCCGGATCCTCACAGGAGCCAGTGTTATCCAAGGAGCAGCCTGCGTTCCAGTATAGCAGTCATGTCTCGCTGCAAGCTTCAAGTGGGCACATGTGGTAAGTGAAGGTGTGCTATGGCAAGGACCACACACATCCAGCCAGGGAGCTGGAGGTCGGAAAAGGAGCTCAGAGCAAGCTCATAGCTTGTGTTAGTTCTGGGCCAAGTCAAGTCCTGAGATAAAGCCTTATCTGATGTTTATTGTTGTGTGGGACTCGTCTGACTTTTTAAATGATGGCTTCCCAGTTCCCTGTGATTTGTGGATTGAGGACTTAGGCTAGAGAGGTCTGGTGGGTTGGTGTTGCAGAGTTGCTCAAGTAGTTGGGGTTTTTTTTCCTCCTGTTTCACTCCTTAACCTCAAATTGCAGTTGGGTAGTTGGGTATGCAGTGTACATTAGGGCCAGAATCAGGACAGCTATGGTTTTCTTTTCATGTAGGGCCGAAAGGGGGGGTCTGGGGTCTTTGGACCAGTCATCCTGTCATGAGTTAGCAAAGAGCCTAGGTCTGCCTTGTCCTCTAGCTGTGGCACTGAGGAAACGGGCCATCCAGATCCTTGGGAGCGCCTCAGCCTTCACTCCCTCTACATCAGCTCTTCTCTGGCCCACAGGGGTACGTTCCGCTTCGAGAGACCTGATGGCTCCCACTTTGATGTTCGAATCCCTCCCTTCTCCCTGGAAAGCAATAAAGATGAGAAGACACCACCCTCAGGCCTTCACTGGTAGGCCAGCGGAGGCCAAGTACCCAGGCTTGGCCCCTGGAAGAACAGCTCTCATCCCACGACTGCTGCAGAACTCTTCTCACTCACCATCATGGGCCACAGCGGGTCTCTGAATTTGATTGTGGGGCTTTTGGGGAAGGGGTGGTGTAACTTTTCTTTAGAGGACCCGTGTAGGATGCCTCCAAGGCTGGCCTCCTCATAAGCCCTGCCTGCCATGTTCCAGTAAACCTTCCCACCAAGGAACTGTGTTCAGCTGTCACAGGCCCTGAGTTTCCTGGCCTGTCACACAGGTTGTCTGGAATGTGAGGTTTGGCCAATAAACCAGTGCACGCTTGGCCACCCTTGCCATTTCTGCCCCTGGAGTCTCAGGTTCCCCTTCTGACCCAGTGGGGGCCCTTGATTGCTCCCCAAGCTACCCTTCCAAGGAGCTGTCTTCCATTAGGATATGTGCCTGTTTCCCTCTGAGCCTGAAGGCTGGCTGGACGATCTCCCAGGGTCACTGTGCCTCTCAGCCAGCTTCAGGGTTGGAGTGGCCTGGCTCTCAGCACTGGCCAACCATTGTCACCTCTGACTTCGCTGGGCCTGAGAGAGGAGTGAGGCAAGCCAGCTGGGTTTCCTGGAGCAGTGCGCTTGCCAGCCGTGAGCGCGAGTCTGTCAAGCATCCAGACCACAGATGCAGGAGGAATTGAGCCGAAGAGCAGCTCTAGGTATGGACGATGACTAAGCCAGGCCACTTCCTGAGCCAGAGATGAATTGTGCTGCGTTTTGCCCCAGTTCTTAGGATTTCTTCTCTCCCGCCACTTCAGTGATTGTTAGAGGTCATTTTCTTCTTGAACTAACATTAAATCTCAGCTCCAGCCTTGTTAGTGTTGTTCTTAATCCTCCACTAGGGGGAGCCTGCATTGCAGGGCAACCGAGTACAGCTGGTCTTATGACCTAGCTTGAACACAAGGTCAGGTGAACCAAGTACAAGGACTAAGCCCACAGCAGCGAGCTGGCCAAGCCCTACTCACTATTAAACAAGGCTCTGTACCACTGCAGTGTAACAGTTTTATTAGAAATTAGTGTTTACTTCCATCATGTATGCTGAGCAGCAAAGTATTGCAGTCATGTGATAAAGGAAAAATTCTCTCATGCGCAGGACCTGTGCCATCCTTCAGACTGACCTTGGGTCACATACCAGATTCAGTAAAACCCAATACCGGTCTGTGTTGTTAACAGCAGGCTGACCGTTTTCTCAGAAACTGACAAGAAGGTTTGACTGCCTGGGCTGCTTGGAGTTGAAAACTTCACGAGCTGCTTTCTGAATGGGGCTGGGAAACTTTAAAAGAAAACCCTCAAACCTTTAAGCCACTAAAGTCTTACTAAAGAAGCTAAGATCACTTCAGTAAGTTCAATCTTAGTGTTTTCCTTAAGACCAAGGAGATCTTTTTCATTGGAGATGATAAATGCCTAGTCCCAAACCACTGTGCTTTCTCAGGAAAACTGGTTACCACTGAGACACTGAGGGTCCAAACGCCAGAGTAAATGGCCCAAATGTCAGGGGCCAAAGGGGATGGGGAGGTCAAAGGGCAAGCATAACAATACCTCAGTGGGGAGCTGGGAATTTGAGCACTAAAGGGCTTAAACAGCTAAGAAAATAGGCCAGTGGCCCCAGGCTGAAGCATTCCAATCTCTGTGGGAAAGCCACAAAGCCTGAATTTGGCCAAAGAAATGGATTTGTCTTTATCTTCTTACTCCAGTGAGGGCTGAAGAACTAGTAGCTGATCACCAAGGTACCTGACCTGAGAGTCTTAGAGCTATTTATATATTCATGACTGTGACTATCATATGAAATGCCTGATGAAAAAGTCACATTTTCCCTGCCCGCTATGTCACTTCGGGTTCTTCTGGGTGTCTAACCTTGGGCCTGGCATTTGCCCGTAGCCTCTATGGCATTGGCTATCATAAGAGTAGTTAAGGGGGATGAACCTGTGTTCCTTCCTAAGGGCAGAGGGTGGGTACTGCATGGGGCTGTGCTGCTTTGTTTGGCTGGCAGAACAGCTCCCTCCCTGACAGCATTCCTTTGGAAAAGAATTCAGATAAGCTGCCTCCAAGGGCCAAGCTAAACAAAAAGGGAATGAAAACCAAAGCCCTCAAGAGGAACTCCTGGCTGGTGCTTGGCATCTCCATGGCTAAGTTACCCAACAAGAAGGAACAGAGGATTTCGAGGGGCTTAGGTCACTCTGGTGTCCTGTGTTCAGAGATACCAATGGGCAGAACCACCATTCCTAGGGCAAACCAATAGCACGGAGGGGTGGGCAGGGAGAAGATGTGTGGCCAAGCACATGACATCTCTGTGCAGGGGCTGCTGGGAGCACAGGGCTCCAAGTTTGCTGTCCTTGGCTGATGGACGTGCCAGCCAGCAACTTATGCATCCTTTCTTCCTCGGTGCTCTGGGCTGGCTGTTTGGCAAGGCTGGCAAGGCCAAAGCTGCTGTTTTTTTTTTTAATTATTATTATTGCTTCCTCTTGAGTCCCTCCCTCAGATTGATTCTGCAGGGAAGGTGGAGATTAGGGTCAGAAAGAGGTGGGTCAGGGAGAATACAAATCTCCTCAATAACCATACAAAGTGCTTTAAAGGAACAAATCCCAAAGGCATTGAGAAAGGCCGAGGGGTCTGTCATATGCAGGGTCTTGGCACCCTGGAGGGCAAAAGAAATGCCCAGTCCCATTATTAGACATAAAACTATTCATTTCCTAGATTATTTTTTAAAAACCAAACTTATCAAGACTGTGCTTAAACACCTACAGGAAAAAGAAGCCCCTACCCTGTTAAAAAATGGAGCCTTTTGGCCAGGCATGTGGCTCACGTCTATAATCCCAGCACTTTGGGAGGCCGAGGTGAAAGGATTGCCTGAGCCTGCAGGTTTGAGACCTAACTGAGCAACTTGGCAGACTCCATCTCTACAATAAATCAAAAAATTAGCTGGGTGTGGAGGCGTGTGCCTGTAGTTCCAGCTACTCGGAAGGCTGAGGTGGCAGGGAGCAGGTCAAGGCTGAGGTGGCAGGGAGCATGCCACTGCCCTGCAGCCTGGGTGACAGAGACTTCAGCTCAAAACAACCACCACCACAACAAAACAGACCCTCCACAGCACCAGAAGTCGCCTTTCTCCCAGAATGAATCCATTCCCCCGGGGCCTCTGCTGAGGCCTCAGGGGCAGCAGCCCTTCAGCAGAGGAAGGGGGATGTTCTAAGCGGGAGGAGGGTAGGTCGGTCCACTCACCCCAGAGCAGAGGTGGCTCCCTGTCAGGCAGGAAGGGTGATGCAGAGCAAATGGGACAGGGCTCAGTCATCTGGAAGTGCTCAGGGGCAGGGCAGAGGAATGCAGTCGCTCCCCTGCCCAGACCCTTTGACCTTCCAGCAGGGCCTGTCATGTCTCTGGGCGCTAGAGTAGAGACCCAGCCAGCAGCAGCACGGGATGGCCAATGGGGCAGGGTTCCACAGGATGGGAGACAGGGCCTCCTGTGCCCAGACTCCCTGAGGGTCTTGTCAGTCGCGGTGTGTAGACTGGTGGCCAAGCTGCCGGTCATCATAAGTGCTATAGCGCTTCACGTGGATGCGGCGGACGCGGTCCCGCAGTTCAAAGGTCTCCTCATCTTCACTGGGGGAAGCCTGGCTACGGCTACGGCTTGTGGCCTCCAGCAGGGAGTTGTCAGGGACGCGGGGAGTCTCGTAGAGTAGGACATTGAGTGTCTCCTCATAGATTCGGGCCTCTGGGAATTCAACCTGGGATGAGGTGGCAAGACCCAGGGAGGTTTTGCCTCAGAGCGGGAGCAGCATGTTGGAGCCACTGGCCCTATGCCAGTTCTGTAAGGCCCCTGACTCTCATAAGACAGATGGCTGTCTGTCTCGGCTGCTGAAGGGGGGTGAGGGGATGTGCTCTAGGACATAAAGAGACAGAAGACCAACACCCTCCCAGGCCACCCCAACCCAAGATGAAGGGACTAGCAGGCACAGAGGGCAGCTGTGGCCTTGCAGCAGGCCTCGGTCTATCAACAGCTCCAACACAGCTCCACCACTTACTAGCTGTGGGGGTCTGGGGTTTAGCCCTTCGGGGCTGCAGCTTCCCTATGTATGAAGTGAGGGTTTACATCTACCTCTGAGAGTTGTCAGCATTACAGGAAAGGTGGAAATTGCTTGGCTGAATCAAACACATACATAAAAAGCAGCTGCTCTGATGAGTATTACTGCTTTTTATTGTCTGCCTGACCCAGTCTGCCACCCGCCACGACCTGACTGGAGGAAAGAGAACAGGATGGCAAGACAGGCATCTAGCCTGACCTGCAGTGTTGTATCGAGCTTCTGATCCCTCATCTGTCAAATGGGGAGAGGCACCCTAACCCTGCCTGTCTCACAGGTGTGGTGACAGGTGCTGTTGCCACTCCTGTGGCTCCACCAGCACCAGAGACCTGCCCCTGAATCCTACTCCATAACATGGTCAGGAGCCACCAATGCTGACTGTCCCCATTCCTCCCACCCCGACACCAAAAACTGCAGGAGGAACCAGGGCCATCTGTAGACTGCCCTGCCCCACCTCTGGCTGGAGGTCTTTCAGGAGTCTGGGGCCAAGAAGCAGTCAACGAGTCTGGCTACGTCGAGCCCTCCACACTCCATGATCCCCAGATGAACTGCCGTTCCACCCCAGCAAAGCCCTGCGTCTCTGGGACGTACACTCATGGGAGGCAGCCACTCTCCAGGGAGGACACTTGCTTGCAGCCAGGGAGAAACGGGTCAGCTGAGTTTGCGATCACTATCACCTACCACGTGCATCATGTGTGCCTGGCACTGTGTTGTTATTGCTGAGGTAAAGCTGACTGACCAGGAGCACAACCAGTGGGGCCAGAGGGGAGATTTTGTTTTTTTATTATTAAAAATTTTTTTTTAGAGATGATGTCTTGCTATTTTACTCAGGCTGGCCTCAAATTCCTGGGCTCAAGCAATCCTCCTACCTCAGCCTCCCAAGTAGCTGGGACTGAAGGCTTGTGTTACCGCACCTGGCCTAGAGAGGAGGCTTGACCAATGTACCAGTGTTTTGTCTAACTAGAAAGCCCAAGCTATTTCCTCTACACCACACTGCTTCTGTACAGGGTTTTCTCATTTTCATAATATCTGTTAGATTTATACTATCATTCCCATGTCTGCAGATGAGGAAGCTGAGGCTCAGATGGTTTACCCAAAGCCAGAATTCAAACCTGAAACTGGACCAACTTCAATGACCCTGTCCTTCCCACCACACCAAGTGTTCCTGGATGGTCAATGGCCGCTGCCCTCAGTTGTCAGGAACAAGCAGTCCCATTCGCCCCCAAGCCCCTTGTTCTGGCTTTGTCCTTACCAAACGCTCGCCCCTTTTGCTCCTGTGGTAAAGGGCTCAGTGGGAGCTACACTGATTATGCCCTGACCACCCCTGCCATGGCAGGCGTGTGCCCCCCACCTCACATAGAGGGAAGCCCATACCTTCGTCTGCTTCTTCTCCGTAGCATATACAATAGAGGTGCAGCACACCTCTGCCAGCTTACGACCCTGGCCGTAGAAGGACCAGCAGCAGATCTCGTCGCCAATGACGTCCTTGATGAAGAGTACGCGGCCGTTGAAACGCAGGGAGAGCTTGTCAAACAGCTCGATGTTTTTCAGCAGGTGGTCGTCAGAGTTACTGAAAAACCCACGAGGGCCAGCAGGCCGGGGAATGAGGGTCCACCCCAAGGGAAGGTGCTGGGGCAAGCTGGCCCTCCCTGACCCTCCCCTCCGGAAATGAAGACAAGATGCCAGGACAGAAAGGGTCATGGGGCACCCTCTGAGTTTGGGGCCTGTGAGGAAAGGGGATTGAGTTGGTTTTCAGTTAGAACAGAGAGAACTGAGGGGAGGAGGTCTCCTCCCATTACACCCAGAAGGAGGCACGCTGCTCCTTTCCCAGATGTTCCTTCCCTTGCCGTGGGGGTGAGGGTGGCAGCATGCTGTCCACAAGGAGTCACAGGGAGGCCTTTGACTCTGAGCCTGCAGCCACCTGCATATACCCAGCGAGAGGACAGGGGCTGGCGTAGGGGATGGGGGAGCTGTCCCAGTGTGACATACACAGGCAGGCAGAGGACTCCTCCTCCACGGCAAGGTAATGAAAACACCTGGCACAGGCCTGAGGTGATCTATGTTAAGGGCATATTTCATGTTCGATTGTTTATCCCAGCTGGGGTCCCGTGCCAAGTTCCAGCGATCTCTGCCCCGATTTCCCCTCTACCCCTCTGTTCTTCTCCCACTTAGCACAACCGGTTCTGAGACCCAGGCCCACAGCAGACCGTGCTGGGAGTGCAGGTGGCTTCCCCTGGGTCCACTGTCCAGTTCTTTCCCAGCCCACAGCAGAGACGCCCACCCTACCTGGTATAGGAATATTTGTTGTTGCTTCTGTTGTACAGCAGTTTCACCACGGGCTGCAAGGGAGGAGACAGTGAGGGCTGGCCAGGGGCCCGGCATCCCTGCCCGCAGCCCACAGTCTGCAGAGATCCCAGTACCTTCGTGGAAGATTCAATGAGCTTCTCTTCCTCCTTCAGGGATGTAATGATGGGGATATTACACACAGGCTGGTAGGAGTCCTTCTTGTCCTGGGTGACACACAGAGCAGAGAAACTTCTCTGGGATCTTCTGCTTGCCAAGCTCAGCCAGGTACTCCCAGAACCCTTCCATCACCCCCTGCTTGGTAGAGGCATCAGAGATGAGGCTCCTGGCGGTAGAATCTGCCAGTTTGGCCAGGTGCAGTGGTTCACACCTGTAATCCCAGCACTTTGGGAGGCCAAGGCAGGAGGATTGCTTGAGCCCAGGAGTTTGAGACCAGCCTGGGCAACATAGCGAGACTCATCTCTGCAAAAAATAAAAAAATTAGCTGGGTGTGGTGGCTCATGCCTGTAGTTCCAGCTACTCGGGAGGCTGAGGTAGAAGGATTGCCTGAGTCTAGGAGGTTGAGGCTGCAGTGAACCATGATCATGCTACTGCACTCCAGCCTGAGTGACAGAGTAAGACCCCGACTCAAAACAAAAACAAAAAACAAAAAAACTGCCTGCTGGCAAGCAGGCCCTTATTTCCAGAAACCTAAAATCCAGATTTCTTGGCATATAAATTAGAAACGGGTCCTATGTGCACTGCTGAGTGTGAATACCTGGCTGCCAGGTTGCCGGACCTGGACAGCATCTCACGGCATCTAAACTAGGTTTGGACTCGTCAACCACACCTCCCACACAGCCAGTCAGGAACTAGACACTTCTGTCCCAGAAGAAGGGGTGACTCCCAACCTCCCCACCCGCCCACGTACCTGCAGGGCTGTCTGGCACATATTTACTAGCCCCTGGATGAGGTAATATTTTGCTTCAGCCATCAGTTCCTTGATTTCTTGCCGGTTCTGAGGGAGGGTGATGGTATCATCTCGCAGGTAATTCAAGATGGTGCCGAAGTGCTTCCCACATCGGTCTATGAGGATCCAGCCTGGGGATTCAGATGGGCCCGTAGTTACTGTTTGCCTCCAGGGACCTCAGAAGCAGGCCAAGTTCACCTGACCAGCTGGGTGGTGAGGAAGGAGTGATCTGAGCATGAGCCACAGCACAGGATGACACAAGTGGGGATGAAATCTAGCTCACAGGGCCATGCCTGCACTTCACCCTTCCCTGAACGGAGACCCAGTACCTCCCATGAGAGATACGGGCCTTCCAGGCATTGTGGAGGCCACAGAGGCCCAATCTCAGGACACTCAGGCCCAGCCCTGGCAACACAAAATCCACCTGCTGCTGCCAGTGTTCTGCCCACTGCCGCCAGTGTTCTGCCCACTGCCTAGCCTTATGGGGACAGTAATTATGAGAATCAGTTTGATCTGAATTTTTTTTTCAAGTTGGAGTCTCACTCTGTCGCCCAAGCTGGAGTGCAGTGGCACGCTCACAGCCACTGCAGCCTCCACCTGCTGGGTTCAGGCGATCCTTCCACCTCAGTCTTCCAAGTAGGTGGAAATATAGGCATGCGCCACCACGCCCAGCTAGTTTTTTGATTTATTGTAGAGATGAGGTCTCGCCAAGTTGCCCAGGTTGGTCTTGAACCCACGGGCTGACAGTCCTCTCACCTCGCCTCCCAAAGTGCTGGGATTATAGGTGTGCGCCACCATACCTGGTCTTTATCTGAATATTTTTAAAGACTGGATCTTGCAGTTTCAGCTACTTGGAAGGCTGAAGCAGAAGGATCGCCTGAACCCAGCAGGTTGAGGTTGTGGTGGCCAGAAGCATGCCACTGCACTCCAGCCTGGGCGACAGAGTGAGACTCCAACTCAAAAACAAAAACAAAAAAGAATGGATCTTCTCCCTGGAAGATTCATAAATATATGACACTTTACATACAATTTCAAAGACTTCTGAAGTTCTACTGAGGACTGCAGGTGAAGACATCTACACTAGGTGAAGAGGCAAAATGAACCTGAATTCTGGATCTACCAGGCTTAAGCCCTGCTGGATCACTTCCTCAGAAGCCCCTCTGCCCCTCCCCAATACACCCAGCAAGCCCTGATGCCTCACCTTCTTTGTCGGTCAGCACTTCCATGCGCCCGCTGAACATGGCCTTGAGCATGGTGTCATGGCGGGTTAGTGCCCGCACGGTGGTATAGTACAGGGAGCCGCCCACATTGAGCTGGACGTACTTGTTGCCCAGCCCTCCTCCCTTGAAGCCACTTAGCTTGGGTTTGGCCCCTGAGGCTGGGCACAGACAGGTATCCCCCGACATCTCCCGCTGCAGGTAGATCACCACACGGCAGGAGGTAGGCTTGGAAGGCTCCGCCGTGGTGGAAGGGGTCAGAAGTGAGTGGCCAGCAGAGGCCAGAGCCTCATACTCTCTGCGCTGTGAGCGGGAGATGGGAGAGAAGATGGAAGTCAGCAGATAGTGTCCTCAAACCAGGAGGGCCAGCAGTAGAAACACGACCACAGCCGTTCTCTCCTTGTTAAGCCCGAGCACTCCCTGGCAGAGGTAAGTCCCCAGGCAACAGTAAGAAAGACTCTCTTGCTGTTCTTTATTGTTACCCAGTAGCCAGGGCTGGGGGCACAGTCTCCCAGACCCTGCCCTGGTCACCTCACCAGCCTCCGAGAGTGGATTCTGCTCTGGGCAGCAAGGAGGACAAGCAAACCCTCAGAACTAGCCAGAGAGGGCCTGAGGGACACATCACCCTGGGGATCTACCAGTCGGATTCCAGTTATTTTCTTTTCAAGGTTCCCAGGATCCCAGACTTCCAGCCACGCCCACTGGGAATCCAGCCAGCCCAGGAGTTTCCCAGGAGCCAGAGGGACAGGATGCGCTTCCTTCCTAAAGATCTCAGAGTCAGGAGCAGCCTGTGCCAGTGTTTACTTTGAGCACCACCAGGCGTCTGGCTTCAGGAAGGAAAGCAAGGGCAGCTTCAGGAGAGAATGGAGGGAGCGAGGTTGGAGGAAGCTGGCCAGTGTTCTTGGCAGAGGTTACCTGGCCACTGGCTGGAGCTTCCCAGCCTTCCTCTTTGCGGGCACCAGCCTTGTCCCAAGTTCCTGAACGTGTCACCACTTTTTAGAGTAGAACAACTACAGGATGGCTATTTTTGTTTCTTTTTCCTGAGAGGGAACCCAGCCCTATCTCTTCTCTTCCCTCCAACAAGAATGGGAGAAAGGACTAGAAAAAAACAGATGATAAATCTAAAAACAACGAAGTGATCTGGAATTTACAACATCAACAGGAGTTCAGGGGAAGGATTAACGAGGAAAGCACAGGGGAGTAAAGCCAGGTCACCCCTTGTGATTAAGGTTCTGTGTTAAGTTTTTGACTTTCTTTTTTGAGTCAGAGTCTCACTCTGTCGCCCAGGTTGGAGTGTAGTGGCGCTGGAGTGCAGTCCCCCACTGGGCTCAGGCTATCCTTCTGCTTCAGTCTTCCAAGTAGCTGGAACTACAGGTGCACGCCACCACACCCAGCTAGTTTTTGTGATTTATTGTAGAGACGAGGTCTCGCCAAGTTGCCCAGGCTGGTCTCGAACCCCGGGGCTCAGGCAATCCTCTCACCTCCGCCTCCCAAAGTGGTGGGATTACAGGCGTGAGCCACTGCGCCTGGCTTGCTTTTGACTTTCTAAAGAATCGCTAAAATTAATTCATGAAAGAAGAAACGAAATAGCTAACATTCATTGCGTGCTTACTTCATGCCAGATACTAGTGTAGGCATTTAATATATACTAGCTCATTTAATTCAGCAATAAAATGATCAGGTGTCCACTGGGTTAAGCAGTAGGGGATGACGAAAAGATACTGTCATTGTATTTAAGGAGCTCAATGATGCATCATAATATTAACTAGAATTTATTTTTAAAGAGCACTTATTGTGCTCCTGTGTACCAAGCACTGGGAATACAGAAGAGAACACGTGCAGAAGAGTCATGGCCTCATGGAGCTGACATTCTAGTAGAAGGAGACGGACTACAGACTAGGAACCAAACAGACAATTCCAGAAGGTGATACATACAATACACATAATACAACAATGATCAGAGAATGCAGAGGGAGAGGCACTAATTTAGACATAGGGACAGGGAAAGCCTCTTTGGGAAGGTGACATTTCAGCAGAGGTCTGAAAAGAGCATTCTAGCAGATGAAAAACTAAGTGCAAACTTCTTATCAGAAAAAAGTTTTAGGAACAGAAATATGGTCATGAGGCTGGTGCACAGAAAAGGAGAGGGAAGTTGGTTTGATGTTAAGTCAGGGAAGGCAGGTGCTGGATGACATCGAAGAGTTTGGATTTTACACAAATTGCAACACAGAAAAAGAATCAATTGGAGGCTTATAAACAGCGGTGTAATATATGATTTGTTTATAGCATATTTGAAAAGATAACTCAGTTGCCGGGTAAGAAAGGGATGGTAAAGGTGTGAAACAAAGTGGAAGACCAGAGGAAGCAGTAGTCTAGCAAGAGATGATGAAGGCTTGGACCACACTGGCAGTAATGGAGACAGGGAAACAGTGGAACTTGCTCATTTAATTCTCACAACATGCAGGGGTTTACAGTGGCTCATCATCTCTTTCTTGTAAGTGTAACCCAGAGGCAGGGCACCAGTGTTCCCAAGTTTACAGCTTGCTCTCCAAGCAGTGCTACGTTAGCACAATGCCAAACCATGTCAGTTTGTTAGACTGAAACTGTCCCTGAAAAGATCCAGATAGGTTCCTGGGAAGAACGTCCCAGGAAGGGCCAGAGGGGGTGCTGTGTGAAGCAGTGAATTCCTCTGGGGCTTGTCGGGGAGCCTCTTTCATCTGCCTCTGGGATAGGGTACAGATGAGATGAGCCCTCACCAGGAGACTGACCAATGAGTAAGAAACACTAGAATGGTATGAGATCACCTTACCTTTCTCTGCCCGCCCAAAGGAATATATCCACCCCTTAACAGGTTTTAGCCAGTTTCCCAGGTATTTTATGTCTAGCCCCAACGTTCCCAGGATCAAAGAAGCAGACATACGTGTTCTGCCAAACCAAAGGAACTCAAAGGCTAGGCTTGCCAAGAGAGGAAGGCAAATTCAGAACTACCTATTCTTTTCCTACAAAGCAATTGCTTTGAGCCCCTGGATGACGTCAGCTCAGATTCCGCCCAGACCAATGGGTTCCAGGAATCCTGTGGCAGGTGACGCCTCTGAAAGTAATTCCAGTGAGAATGAAGTTTCCACCGATAGCCTCACTGCTTGCTCTTCCTTCCGGACTTTGGTGTGGGTATCTGGGGATGCCTGGGGCTAGGGGCGGGTCCGTGTCTCACTCAGCGAAGCTAATGGGAACCCAAACAGAACAAAAGGCAAACGACCGCGGCGGTGGAGGGAGGTGGGGTCCTAAAGGAGGAAGGACCCAGACACCCGTCGGACACTGGGTCGGAGGCAGTGGGGGTGGGGGAGAACCTAGCAGAAATCCCAGGTGCAAGGTTAGGCTTCGTCCAGAGGGTCCTGGGGAAATTTAGCGACACCCAGAGTCTCTTGAGGCCGTTATAGGCTCTTCCCCAGCCCGGGCCACTGCTCACTACCGAGAAACCGAGCCCGGTTCTCACACCCATCCCTGGGGGAGGACTTGAGTTCTCCATCTCCCCGACACCGTCCCACGCCTTGTCCCCAGGTCCCAGCCGAGCTCGCTTTGCCCGGGTCCGTCCATCCCTTCCCCGAGGGCATTGGCAGGCCCGGCTCTCACCGTCCCCGGGGGCGCCTCTCTTCTCAGCTAGGTGGTGAGCAGACTCCGTGTAACCCCTAGCCTGTGGCCGCCTGCCCGCCAGCAATCCCGGGCTGTGAGCTCACATCCTGCGCCCTCCGACTCCGCCCGGAGCCGCACGCGGCCCAGCCCTGTCGGCCGGGGAGACTGAGACTACGTGGCCCAGCATGCACTGCGCCGTGCAGGGCGGGGCAGAGGCAGAATCTTCCGAGAGTCTTCCGCCGCGAGAGCGCAGATACTTCCGGAAGGCGCTAAGGCCTCTGGGTTTTGTAGGCAGTCATCTCGCCCCTCGGGCCTTTGTTTCCCAGCAGGCTCTCTGGCCTGGGGTGTGTAAGTGCTTCCGGCGTCAGACCGGTAGTGATGTTATGGGTAAATAGGCTCTGTAGCCGTGGCAGCGGCCGAGGTGGGCCGGCCGGGGACCCGCTGCCGCTGAGCGGAGGGAGAAACTGCTTGTCTGTATCAGCCTTGGCAGCGCCGCGCCGCGGCTGCGGGGCCGGCAGGTAGGCTGTGACTTCGGGTCGGGGGACGCGGGCGGACCGGGGCGAGAGGAGCCCGACGGGCCCGCGCCCCGACGGAAGGCAGTCCTAGGCGGAAAGAGCCGGGAGAATTCCGTCCGACCCTTAGGAGCGCTTTCATGCCCGGCTGAGGCCTGGAGTTTGTCGCGTTGATGCTCGCTAAGATCTTATGAGCAAGCTGCGGTCCGGATATGTCCAAGGAGTTCCCATAGTCAAGGCAGAGCCAGCTTCATCAGCCAGGCCTTCCTTTTTGCCCAGAACCTCTTCTACTCCCATGGATGGAGCTCGCTTGCAGTGCCTAGCATGGATCTGGGCAGCCGGGGAGCAGCGAGCCTGGCACCGCCCTTATCGCGGGACTCAGGCCCAGCTCTTGTGCCGGGCGCTGCTCAGCTGATAGTCGACTGTGAACCCTCTCCCTACACCCCTTCTTCCGTCTTACCCATCTCATTAAACTATCCCCTCCAGTCATACATTTGTGCCAAGCCAGATTCATGGAAATCGTGCCTGACTCTTCTTTCCTTAACTCATCCCCAAACCAGCACATTCATTCATTCCATCACTAAGTCCCACCAACTCGACTTACAAGTCATCTCAACTCGGAACACTTGTCTTCAGCTGCAAACCTTGGTTACTGCAATAGCCTCTATTTGTTTCCACAGTCATTCATTCCACATTTACTGAGTGCCATGGGCACCGTGCAAGGTGTTAGGGTTACAGTAATGAACCAGGTAAGGGGGCCTTGCCCTTTAGTTCCCTCCAGTTCGCTCTCCCCACTGAGCAAGATGGTCTCTCCTAAGTCTGATCATGTTACTCTGCTGAGAATCCGCTGGCTGCCCATTACTGTTACCCATTACTGTGGCTTTCAGAGCCGGGTGATCCAGCTCTGGCCTCCCTGTCTAGCCTCTTCCCGTTGCATTCTCCTTCTTACTGCTTCAGTCGCACTAGCCTTTCAGTTCTTGGAATACTTCAAATTTCCTATTGTCTCAGGATCTTCACATGATTCTCCTGCTTGGAATGCCTCGCTGCTCCCTCTTGGCAAACTTTTGAACATCCTTTAGTTCTCAGTCTAAGTGTCACTTTTTCAGAAGGTCTGTGCTGATGTTCCCCCCTCCACCTTCCATGTATGAATTGTGCCTTACTGCTGCGGTTCACATAGCACAATGAGCCTTTCCTGATCCTATGATCACAATTTGTGATTACTTCTTTACCTTCTGTCCAGAGGCATTTTCTTTACTATTGTATCCCCAGTGTAGGGACTTGGTAGATGTTTCTGAATAAATGCATGCTTTCAGGGAAGGGACTGAAAGTTGAAGCAGATCTTTGCTCCCTCATGGTACTTGAATCTTTTTTTTTTTTTTTTTTGAGTAGGCGTCTCATTCTGTTGCCCAGGCTGGAGTGCAGTGGCATGCTCACCTTCCACCTCAGCCTTCCACACAGGCGTATGCCACCACACCCCAGCTAAGTTTTTGATTTATTACAGATACAAGGACTTGCCATGTTGTCCAGGCTGGTCTCGAACCTCTGGACTCAGGCAGTCCTCTCACCTCTTCCTCTCAAAGGGCTATGATTACAGGCGTGAGCCACCACACCCAGCCGGTGCTTGAATCTTTCTGGAGCAGCTGGTCTGATTAATCACCTTGCAGCTATGGAATACTCAGATTATATGCGTAACTAGAACAAGCAGGAAGGTAGAGCTTTTTGAAACGCCCAATAGGGAAACTGTATATGATCAAAATGTTTTAAAAGAAAGATGCTAGCTCACTTACTTCAGTGCATTTCAGTGAGACCACAGGCTAGGACTTATAAGACAGCCATAGATATGCATTAGTTGGCCCACACAGTGTTGGATGTGGTTTTTCCCCCCTTATTTTACATTTTTGAATTAGGCACCAACATTTAAATATCAGATTTCTGGGCCTGTTGAAAACTAAGTTGTGGAAACAGTGGGATCTAATTCTTTTCCAACCATTGCTCCTCCTGTGGCACACCTGCCTTGGACAGTCACCCCCAGAATCACCCCATTCCAAACAGAACTTCTCTAAGGAAGCTGGAAGGGAAACAGGTGAGGCTGGGGGAAGTGGGAGCAGAGGGAAGGGGCCAGGGCATGCCAAGGTGATGGTAACTTTTGGAGCACCTGGGCTTTAGAATGGGCATGGCAGCCACTGTTAGGCTGGACCTAACTAGCATTGCCTCCTTTTTAAAATAGGTAATGTGTTCTTTTTTAATTTTTAAAAAATATTTTTGCTGAGCTAGAATGAGGGTGGGTTTTCAGTATTTTCTTCCCAGGATTGAGGTGTCCTTTGGACCAGGAATACAAGGTGGGCTGGAAAGAGAGAAGATGTCTTTTGTTGGCTCTCTGTTAACAGAAAAACATCCAAACGCCTTAGCTTAGCGTACAGGGGCTTGCTGTTCTGGCTGCAGCCACCTTTCTAGCTTCCTCCTCTTTCGTGCCCTAGGCAGAATAGGCCCTGACAGTGACTTCAGGATTTTGTGCTGCTTTCTCTGCTTGGAATGCCTTTCCCTGGCCTCCTGACTTGGCATGTTCTTGCTGATACTTATTCCTTCTTGTGTTTTCTGCTAGAAAGACACTGACTCAACTTTGATTCCCAGTTCAGTATAATATCCTGTAGCATACATTTTGGGTAATATTCTTTTTTTTTTTTTTTTTGAGTTGGAGTCTCACTCTGTTGCCCAGGATGGGGAGTGCGTGGCACACTCACGGCTACCCCAGCATTGACCTGTTGGGCTCAGGCGATCCATCCACCTCAGACTTCCAAGTAGCCAGAACTACAGGCATGCGCTACCATGCCCGGCTAGTTGTTTATTTTAGAGACAAGGTCTCACCAAGTTGTCCAGGCTGGTCTCGAACCTGCGGGCTCAGGCAGTCCCCTCGCCTTGGCCTCCCAAAGTGCTGGGATTACAGGCTGAGCCACTGAGCCTGGCCCATTTTGGGTAATCTTCTTACTCTGGCCTCTTCATTCATTTTATTTATTTTTGAGATGTCTCACTCTGTTGCCCAGGCTGGAGTGCAGTGACACAGTCGTGGCTCATTGCAGCCTTCACCTCCTGGGCTCAGCTGATCCTTCCGTTTCAGCCTCCTGAGTAGTTGGGACTATAGGTGCATGCCACCATGTCTGGCTGATTTTTAAATTTTTTTTGTAGAGACGAGGTCTCACTATTTTGCTTAGGCTGCTCTTGAGCTCCTGGGCTCAAACAGTCCTTCCACTTTGGCCTCCCAAAGTGCTGAGATTACAGGCATGAGCGACCATGCTTGGCCTTTCTTATCTTTTAACCCTAATTTCTAATTCACTCAGATTTCTTCTTTCATTTGCTTTTTGTGTTCCAGTACATGCATTTGAAAAGCCTTTTCACGTGCTTTTGGGTGCATAACTGGGGACATATAAACATGCTTATGGCTCATATCTTAGTTCAGATGTTACCCCTGCATCCCAGGTTGACGCTCTTTGCTCCTGTGGCTCTTTGGTGGTGTTTCTGAACAAGCGCTTATAATGTGATTTTTCAGTTTCCATGTCTGTCTTCAGCGAAACCATGTGCTCGTCTGGGCGGGCACCGTGCTGCTTCCTCTTTGTACCCCAGCATCTAGCAGTGTTGGCATGTAGAAGGCACTCAAGAAGCGGGTGCTGAGTGAACGATGCCTGTGACAAGCAAGCGAACTTTATTCTTTCCTGACCCTTGCTCCCATGACACATCTCTTGACTTCTACTGTTACCCTTTCAGAGCAGAACTTCTCTAGGGAACCTGGAAGGCAACAGGTGAGGGTCAGAGAGGTGGAAGCAGAGAGGAGCCGGAACCTTTGGGCCATGTGGGTTTTGGGCACTGGTGTCTAAATTCAGGTGTGGGGTTGGGCTGACAGCAGGCATTTGCTTGGGTGGCTGGGGAGTGGTTAGAGATTGGGCTGGTTTTTTGCAGCTATGGCCAAGGATATCCTGGGTGAAGCAGGGCTGCACTTTGATGAGCTGAACAAGCTGCGGGTGTTGGACCCAGAGGTTACCCAGCAGACCATAGAGCTCAAGGAAGAGTGCAAGGACTTTGTGGACAGTGAGTATCATTTGGGGAGACCTGGTGCCACTCAGCTTCGGGCTACTGTTTTAACTGTACCCCACCCCCACCCGTCTATAGCACTTGGCCCTACCAGAATGGAGCTGCTGGCTCCCTGGAGGCTTTGCCTGGCCTCTGAATTTCTGTGTGCCACCCACCTGGTCTACCTGCCCTCTTATGCTGTCATGTAGTCCCACAGAACATCAGTCAAATCAATCATTGGGATGGGTAGGGCAGGATGTTTTCAGATATGCCATCTTTGATTTCTTTTTCTTAGAAACCTTAAACTTTGTGGGAGCAAAACCGTGGCTTGAGGGTGGGAAATAAAATTATGTACTCATGATTTAATCTCTTGCTATAGTCTTCTCAGTGGCAGGCTCTCCATTATTTGGAGTTAGAGGTAATGACTGAAGTTTCTAGAAGCAGCTCAACAGACTTAATGAAGTCCTCTTTTGGCTAGAGAGCTCCTGGAAGTCTTCTGTCCCAGCCCCAAGCAAGCCCAGTGCCAGTTGATACAGAGCTGGCTGTAGCTAGAGCAAGGGATTTCTGAGTCCTCTGGGGGCTCCCTAAGTTGTGGAGAGAGCTTGTTGGTCTGGTAGCTTAGGTTCTGTTGCATCTTCTGTGATTGCTGTGTGCATGCCATCCCACCTTTCTGGGCCTTAGTTTCCCCTCAGTAAACTGGGGTTCTGTCACATCAAAGACATTGAAATAAGTGGATGGGGAATGAGGCACTTAAATGCTGTGAGCTCTGTACTCACTCTGGTTGCAGGTGGGAAGCCCCCATTCCTTCCATGAAGTGAAATCTAGTGTGTCTGTGGCTAGTCCAGAGGCAGCGCTTGCGTCCTAAGGCAGTCCTTTCGTGAATAGTGGTGCTTCCTGCTACTCCTGGGGAAGCAGGACTGGGCTCCACCTAGAAGGTGGGCCCGCCAAGGGTCTAGTGCCTTCACATCCTGAGGTAACAGCAGCCGGCTGGCTCAGTGGGGATATAAAGTCCAGTTATGCCTCGGTCCAGCTGGCCACTGTTCTCTAGTCTGACTCCAGATTAATGGTGGGAAACTTAGACCAGCAGGCACTAAGCTTTTTAAGATATGAGGTCTTCTACTCAGGAGGCTGAGGAGAGAGGATCATGGGGGCCTAGTAGTTCAAGACTGCCAGTGAGCCATGATCATGCCACTGCATTCTAGCCTGGGTGACAGAGTAAGACCTTGTCTTTTTTTTGAGTTGGGGTCTCACTCTGTTGCCCAGGCTGGAGTGCAGTGGCACACTCATGGCCACAACAGCCTCAGCTTGCTGGGCTCGGGTGGACCTTCCGCCTCAGCCTTCCAATAACTGGAACTACAGGTGCATGCCACCACGTCTGATTAATTTTTTGATTTATTGTAGAGATGAGGTCTCACCAAGTTGGCCACGCTGGTCTCAAACCCGTGGGCTCAGGCAATCCTCTCATCTTGGCCTCCCAAAGTGCTGGGATTATAGGTGTGAGTCACTGTGCCCAGCCTTACCGTTTTTAAAAAAGAGACTGAATCTCACTCTGTTGCCCAGGCTGGAGTGCAAGTGGCTATTCAACCTCAAACTCCTGGGCTCAAGGGATCCTTTGGCCTCAGCCTCCTGAGTTGCTAGGATTACAGGTGCATACCACCCTGCTTGGCACAGCACTAAACTTTTAACACAAATTAAAAGGGGCATTAGCCCTGCCCTCACTGCTTCGGGATGGGCTGAGGAGGGAAAGTCATGATGCTGAGAAAATAAAACATTTTATTTTTGTTCTTTCCCTAAAAGAAATTGGCCAGTTTCAGAAAATAGTTGGTGGTTTAATTGAGCTTGTTGACCAACTTGCAAAAGAAGCAGAAAATGAGAAGATGAAGGTAAGATCAGCATGTCTTGGCCTGGGACTCTGGTTCACTAGCCCCTCATTCTTCTGCCCTCTTGATTTGCTTAGGGGGATGAGTGGGTAGGTGGGTTATTTTATATAATTAAAGTGAGATTTAGTAACAATTTCTAGTCCGCTTAGCCTATGAACTTCTATACTAGTACACTTTGTCGTTTCTTCATTATTCCCATCAGCACTAACCTAGATGGTTTTAGCCTCATTTTATAAATGAAGAAAGGCTTGCATGGCTTAGGTGACCTGGAGAATACTTCCAGGCCTGCCTCAAAGCCACAGTCCAGTTCTCATCAGGCACTTTGGGATCAGTAGGTTAATCCTTCTGACTTAACCAAAAGTTTTGGGGCTTCACTTTCTTTTCCTTTCTGGGCACTTTCGTAGCTCTCAAATGGCCCCTCCCGTTTGAGGACTTCATGCTGTAGACTTTTTTTTTTTGAGTTGGAGTCTCACTCTGTTGCCCAGACTGGAGTGTAGTGGCCGCTCCTGGCCACCGCAGCCTCAACCTGCTGGGCTCTGGTGATCCTTCCGCCTCAGTCTTCCAAGTAGTTGGAATTACAGGCGCGTGCTACCATGGCCAGCTGATTTTTTGATTTACTGTAGAGATGAGGTCTCGCCAAGTTGCCCAGGTGGGTCTCAAACCCGCGGGCTCAGGCAGTCCACTCATCTCGGCCTCCCAAAGTGCTGGGATTACAGGCTGAGCCACCGAGCCCGGCCTCAGCTGTAGACTTCTTAATGAAGCCATGACCACCTTTGGCAATACTGTCTCCTAGGCCATTGGTGCTCGCAACTTGCTCAAGTCTATAGCAAAGCAGAGAGAGGCCCAGCAGCAGCAACTTCAAGCACTAATAGCAGAAAAGAAAATGCAGCTGGAAAGGTAAGAAGTCATGATGTAAAGCAAGTTCTTTACTCCACCGAGTTCCTACTCTTCTTTCTGGAATGATCATCTCGTCCTTATCATTGTTTTTTCAGGAATAGCATCTCCCTTGCCATCCTGATTTGATTTTCTAAATTACATTTGATGAGAAGGAAATAGAAAGCTTGTTAGTCTTAAGCCACTTCTAGTCGCTTGAGCATGACAGGGCCCATACAGCTAGCTCTGAAAGACTTTCCTAGCGCAGGACATTTCTCAAGGGGGCTCTGGGTAGGGTTCTGCCTCTTACTATCTTTCTTTCTTCATTCTGAACTTGTGCCATTTCTTGAAATTATTTAAACCTCTATATTCTTCTCTAGAGGAATTAAGTCTGTGGTTTACTTCATCCTTTTTCAGGGCCTCTAACAATTTTGTTTTTCAGGTATCGGGTTGAATATGAAGCTTTGTGTAAAGTAGAAGCAGAACAAAATGAATTTATTGACCAATTTATTTTTCAGAAATGAACTGAAAATTTCACTTTTATAGGAGGAAAGCAAAAAACAGCCCCCAAAACCAAAAAAACCTCTGTACCATTCCAGTGAACTAATGACCTAAGTATGTCCCGTGAGATGGTGTGTGAGGAGCACAGCCCTCTGAAGGCAGTACTGCAAGTCTGGGGCACTTGTTTTAAGTATCGGGGCACTGTTGCTACTGGTGGCCATGCATTGTGGGTTCACACCTCTCACATTCTTAGTCGGAACTAAGCAGTTTGTAAACTTTGATCCTTTTTTGTAAATTCATAGCTTTGGAAGGAAAAGCAATAAATTATTGTTTTCAAATGGTTTGATCTTTCTTCCTGTTGCCCTTGAAGTATGTTTAGCCCCTTGTGAGAGAACACTGGATTCTCTAGTCCCCAGTCCACAAAACAAACCAGGCAGAGGTCAGCAGCTACCTTTATTTGGACCAGACATGAGCCATACACCACTGATCAGACCAATACAGCTTGTGAGCAAAATGAGCAAAAACAGAGAGGACTGGCTGGGACTTGTCTGCCATCTTTTTTTTTTTAAGGGTTGGCCTTCTGCAGATTTAGAGAAAGCTGAGGGATTACTAAGCACTGATATGACCAGACCCTATATGCACATGTCATACCTTACTGGCTGTCACCCCACCCCCACCTTCCCTTCTCCTGAGAACAGGGAAATGGGTTACACTGTATCAGGAGGGGGGAAGTTATCCATGAGGGAGCCACACTTCTAGATCAGGCTTGAGATTCTAGACTTCAGAGTAAGCGACTTGTATCAGGTGGTCTCTAAAAACATGGAAGACTAAAATTTGGAAGTAGGTGGATAAAGAGATTTTTTTCCTCTTCTCTTGGGATGCCCTGTTTAAAACAAACAAAAACACTTTCCAGTTCAACCCACTGCTGACTGAAAGACATGCTAGTGCTAGGGCTAAACCTTAAGGAAAACTAAGTTTGAACCTCTTTTGTATAATATTCTGTTTCTTCCAGGGACAGAGGTGGGGACAAGAAAACAGCATTTTTAGACTTTTTACCATTTTGTCTGTATAAGCTACATAGTGTTTTATATGAATATTAAGGAGGCACAATTCCAAATTTCAGAATGGCGCAAAACACCCCACTGTTCATTTTGCTGACTGGTGATGTGCTCTAGAGAACCAGGAGCAAAGGGTTTAGTCAGGGATGGATGTTGTGGGTCGAGTGACTCACAAATATGTCAAGCAGGTCACATTCTCAGAAGTTTATCCAGTTTTTTATCTGGTCTTGCTTTTAGTAATCCTGCAGCAGAACTTAGGCACACAGTGAGGCATTTGGTATCACTTTCCTATAACAGCCCACACCCATCTGCCCACCCTCAGCTGATTGGTCTATTTGTCCCAGTGCCCTTGGAAGGTGAGGGTTTGCTGTGGCTCCTGCCACCATCTTGCTCTTGTGTGTTGCTGTGGCTCCTGCCACCATCTTGCTCTTGTGTGCTGCTGATAGTGTGTTTCAAATGCTGCTGAAGACATGGGTTCTGAGCAGTGTGCCGTGTTGGGTCTAACAGGCAACTGCCCTGTGAACATCTCTCCCCGGGCCAGGGGTCATTCCCTCATTTTTTCTTTCTTTTCTCCTCATGCTTGTAGAAGGGGCTCCGCAACATGAAAAGCAGAAGGATGAATGGGATTAGTATGTAGGGGGCATAGACACACACAAGAGTTAGTCGTTCATGCAGAGTCTCAGGTCTTTGTCCTTTGAAACCACTGGCTTTGGAGAAATCCTCAAACAAAAGCGTGGAGAGAATTGGAATTAAAGTCGTCATTGTGTGAACTGAGTAGAGGATTGCTGGGATTCGAATCCACTTGCAGCTTCCTGCAATAGTCAGGGGAAAAGAGACAAGGCTTAGGTCTGTTCCTGAGCCCATGGACGTCCATGATATTCTCTACCTGTCTTTGCTTGCTGCTCCCATCTATCCCCTTCCCCAGTTGGAAACTCGGAACAAATGGAAAACTGGATGCAGCTAGGACCCCAGCTCACTGACTGCCAAAGAACCAAAGGTGGGGGTTGGAATATAACTGAGAAAAGCTGTAGGACAGTTAAACCACCATTACCAGTTAAGCCTGTTAGGTCTAAAATGCAAGGGGAGGGGAATCCTCGCCCCATAGCATCTGTTTGTTAAGTAATTATATATAGATGAGAGGATCAAGAGTTGGATTCAGTGACTCCAGGGGCCTCCAATGGGAAGAAACAAGTACAATTACCAAGTACATGGACATGGCCACCCTCTTTATGAAACACTGTAAGAGTAATTTATCAATAAGAAATTAATTCCTTTAGGGATAACTTGATGCTACTGCTTGCAAGTCATTATGATTCTGTCCAAAGCAGAAAATAAAAGCCAGTAATAAAATAATTATACGGGGGAAAAACACAAAAGGGAACAGCTCATCCTTCAAGTGGCCTCAGGTTTTATGAGCAAGATTTCCAGGTAACTGAGGCAGCTATGCAGCCCAGCTGACCACAGACATTAGCCTGAGTCACATTAATGCCTTTACAGCAGTGGTCCCCAACTTTTCTAGCCCAGGGACCGGTTTTGTGGAAGATAATTTTTCCATGGATGCAGCGGGTAGGGGGCTGGAATCATCAGGCATTAGATTATCATAAGGAGTGCACAACCTAGATCCCTTTCAGGCACAGTTCACAATAGGGTTCATGCTTCTAAAAGAATCTAATGCTGCTGCTGATCTGACAGGAGATGGAGCTCTGCTTATCTGCCTCTCACCTCCTGCTGGGTGGCCTGGTTCTTAACAGGCCACAGACTAGTACCAGTCTCTGGCTCAGGGCTTGGGGACCCCGGTGTAACAAGATCTATCTTGGTTATTTCTGCCAGATTCTATGGCACCTGTACACAAATTGCAGGGACTATGCCTGTCTCTTGGAGATAATTTGCCAAAAGATTTCTGGGACCTAATCTTTAAGCAAAAATGGGATTTTCCCAACCCTTTACCAACCTTTGAAGAAGGCGTATGTTGCAAAGGGAAAGAAAGGCAGCTGAAACACAAGCTCGCAAAACAGGAAGGATTTAAACCACACTGGGGGATCCTGTAGCAGAGGGTCTTTGAACTCCTTAGAATACCACTTCAGCAGGTTTCTAAACTGAAAAAGATAATGATCATGATGAGTAGCAGCTGCTTGGACAGCTCAGCTCCAACCCATTAGAAGATGCATTGGAAGAGTCATTAGGTTGCTCTCTTGGCAGCAGATGGCACACCCAGCTGGCTTTTGTGACACAGCCTGGATGGTCATTTAATAAAAACTAATAGCCCTAACTCAAGTGTTACCTTCTCTGTGAAGTTTTCCTCAACTCTTCCAGCCCCTTCTTTGTGTTACCCAGCATTTGTTCATACCTCTATGGTAACACATATATCCAGGTGTGTTGCCCGCTGCCAAGAGCAACAATAAATAGCTGGCACATAGTAGGCGCCAAGGACGTTTGCTGAATGAAGAAACATGACATTTCTGCCAACAGTATCATTCTTTGTATATATGAAAACCATCCTGACGTGTTTCCTTTCACAACAGCAACTCTACACCAAACTCCGAAGGCGTTCCCTCAAATACATAAATGAATTTAATTTCTCTTTCTTTTCTTGGGGGGAGGTGGTGGTGAATAGGGAAGCAAATGTAACCTTTGTGAAGATGTAAGTTTGGACACTTTACTATCGAAAATAAATTTCTTATTCTTAACTCCCCTAATTCTAAATTTTTTTTTTCCTTTTAGGAGCCAGTGGGATACTAGTGAAAGAACAAACTCTGCCCTAAACCACAACCTACATAGCTTCTAGGCTGCGCAAGACTTGAGAGTTAGCAGTTTCAGTTCTAGTTTGGGCCCCACCCCTCATAATTGCCCTCTCAAAATAAAAGGATGCAGATCCACGCTGACATGGGTACAGGCTGGGGAAGAAAGAATCTGAAGCTGTCCATTTTGGACTCTTCTAGGAGCCCAAAGCCTAATGCTCTCAGCAATACAGGGACTACCAAAGGCCTGTCATATTTAACCTGGTGGTGGCACTGAACTGACACATATGCCTTCAAAGCCAAAGGAGTCTTGATATTATAATCGATAAAGGCACTCTGGCCAGACGTGGTGGCTCATACCTGCAATCCCAGCACTTTGGGAGGCTGATGTGGGAGGACCGCTTGAGCCTAGGAATTTAAGATTAGCCTAGGCAACATAGCAAAACCTCATCTCTACAAAAAAAAAAAATCAGCTGGGCGTGGTGGCTTGCCCCTGTAGTCCTAGCTACTTAAGAGGATCACTGGAGCCCAGGAGGTAGAGGCTGCAGTGAGCTGTAATTGTGCCACTGCATTCCACCCTGGGCAACAGACTAAAAAAAAAAAAAAAATTCAACTCCAGGATAAGAACTTATCTTACAATGGAAAATCCAAGGATTTTTTTTCTGTTAATGTTTAATCAAGATAAAGGCTCACTATTGTGAAATGGAGTCCCCAGTGCCAGAGCTTTAAATAAATATCCAGAAACAAACATTCTGTTAGGATAATATTAATTTCAGAAAGGCTCTGGCTAGATAACCAATTTATCGACCAAAAACGACTAATTTGTATTTGAAATTTAAATTCATAGAATACCCCTTGATTCCTCCTGAGTACTTTTCAGGACAGTGATGTGGGAGGAACCACCCATACAGGTTAGGTCAGGGCTCTATTTCCTCATCTGTCAAATGAGCAACTGGGACCAAATGTTTTTACAATTCTTTTTTGCTTTTTAGATTTACTTTAAAAAATACTGAAGGAAACAACCTGCTTTAAAAGATTTACTGCAAAGCGGGGCTCGGTGGCTCAGCCTGTAATCCTGTGCTTTGGGAGGCTGAGGTGAGTGGACTGCCCAAGCCCGCGGGTTCGAGACCTGCCTGGGCAAATTGGCGAGACCTCATCTCTACAATAAATCAAAAATGAGCCGGGCGTGGTAGTGCGTGCCTGTAGTTCCAGCTACTTGGAAGGTTGAGGCGGAAGGATCGCCGGAGCCCAGCAGGTCGAGGCTGCAGTGGCTGGGAGCACCCACTGCACTCCTGTCTGGGTGACAGAGTGAGACTCCAACTCAAAAAAAAAAAAGATTAACTGCAGAATTTCAAAGGAATTCTGGTCCTTTTAAACCTCACTTTCTATTCAATTTGTATACCATCTCTCAGGTCCACTTATTTTATAAACTGAGGCAGACTTGTATAGCACTACAATTTCTAAGGGCTGCAGGATGAGACTGACAAAATTTTAAAATAATTGAATCAGCCAGTTCTCACAATCAATTAGGACCCAGAGGAGGCCTGGCCCAAAGGTGGGTAGGAGAGACCCATTCTCCCTGCCAGGGTGGTGAGGAGTGTGGGATGACCTGGGGCAGAGTCCCTGGTTCTGGGCAAGGCTCTTAATCTCCAAACACTTGTTTCCCCATCTGTAAAGCAGGGCCAGTAACTGCCTACCTCACTGTTGGTAAGACACAATGAATTAATGCATGCAGTTTTTAAAACAAGGGCTAGCAATAAGATTACTTAATTGAATGTACTCAAAACAAATTTTTTTTTTTTTTTTTGGAGATGTTCAAGTTTATTTTTCTATCTTTTGAGACAGTTTCACTCTGTCGCCCAGGCTGGAGTGCAGCGGTATCTCACCCACAGCCTTGACCTCCTGGGCTCCAGCAATCTTCCTGCCTCGGCCTCCCAAGTAGCTAGGACTACAGGTGCACACTACCATTACACCCAGCTAATTTTTCTGTTTTCTGTAGAGACAGGGCCTTGCTTTGTTACCCAGGGTGGTCTTGAACTCCTGGGCTCAAGCAATCTTCCCACCTCAGCTTCCCAAAGTGCTGGGATCACAGGCACGAGCCGCCATGCCCAGCCCATGCTGCAATTTTAAAAGGACTAAATTCAAACATCTCCTAGGCCTGTAATCCCAGCACTTTGGGATGCTGAGGCAAGAGGATCACTTGAGCCCAGGAGTTTGAGACCAGCCTGGGCAATATCGCGAGCCTTCACCTCTACAAAAACTGAAAACTAGCTGGGCATGGTGGCACATGCCTGTAGTCTCAGCTACTCAGGAGGCCGAGGCAGGAGGATCACTTGAGCCTAGGAGTTAGATGCTGCGGTGAGCTGTGATCATGCTACTGGACTCTAGTCTGGGTGACAGTGAGACCCCTCCAACCCCCCCCAAAATAAAAAATTGCAGCATACAGCTAGTCACTAATAATTACTTATCCTTATTATCTTATATCACCTTACATCTGACTTATCTCACCTTTATCAATTAAAAGATCTACCTGGCCCGCACACATGGATTTCTAGCCTAGGGGTTGCTACTGAACAATCTTGCACTTCTCTAATTTAGAATGAGAACTGACTGATTGCAGATCCAGGCGCTCACCTGTTTTCCTGTATTTTAACAGAAGCAATGTTACCTAGCTGCAAATGATACTACAAAATGCTTCCAATCCTCTCCTTCCTATATTCCAATCCAAATTAAGTTCTCTGTTTCATAATAAAGTAAGAGTTTTTCCAAGTGCTGATTTGGTTCAAACCAAGAAAAAATTTAATTTGCAAATTTCAGCTCAGCCACTATGTGATCTCCCACAGGTTTTTAGTTATAGGGAAAAACTTCTATTTAGGGAGGAAAAACAACAGATGTTAAATTTTGGCATTTTTCAAAGAGAATCTGAAAATAACTCTAGGGTTTTATCATTTTCCCCATAGAGAAGCAGCAAAAATCATCATTCTCAACGTCAAAGACACAAGAGGGAATAGAGGCACAGGCCCTTCAAGCCAGGATGCCCCTGTGCTGCTGCCTTCAAACATCATCAGACACACAGAGACAGTTTCTGGCCAGATCCTGCCTACATTGGCCCGTGGGCCTTTTGCAGCAAGTCAACATTTAAAAAAATAAAGCTGAGAAAATTTTACCAAATCAAATGTATACATTTAAACGGGGTCTTTATGAAGCTGGGCACCTTCTATATTTTGTGAGGGGTGAGCAAGGAGGACCTGTAGGAATGGCTCATTCAGAAAGGATAAAGAAACCAACAGCTGTTAAGTCTGGAATGGCTACATGGAGTAACAGGCATCCTGCCTGAGTTTTGTTGGCTAAGTAGGTCTCAAAAACCATAGATATGGCAATACTGTAATAGGTTCTTTCTTCAGGACAACTAACGGCTAGTGCAGAGCCGAGATAGCTTTAGGAGTCATGCTCTATCTGGCCCTGTGGCAGGCTGAATAATGGCTCCAAAGATATCTATATCCTGGTCCCTAGAACCTGTGACTGTTACTTTATTTGGCAAAAGGGACTTTGCAGCTGTGATTAAACTAAGGATCTTGAGATGGGGAGATTTTCCTGGGTTATGTGGTGGGCTCTGGGTGTATCACAAGTGTTCTTATAAAAGTAAGGCAGAGGGAGATTTGCCTGCAGAAGAAAAGGCGGCAATGTGACAACCTTGAGGCAGAGGCTGAAGTGATGCAGTCACAAGCCAAGGAACATTGGTAGCCACCAGAAACTGGAAGGGGCAAGGAACAGATCCTCCCTAGAACCCTGAGGAGAACCCTACTAACACCTGATTTGGGCCCGTAAGATTCATTTCAAAATTCTGCCCCCAGAACTCTAAAAGAATAAATTTGTGTTAGGTCACTATGTATATTTGTGGTAATTTATTAAAGCAGCTATAGGAAACGAATACACCCTTTATATGTTTGCGCTTATAGTTTAACGCAACTCTCTTATTTGACAGTTGAGGCTACAGAGCCTTGACCTGCCCAAGGCACCAACCAGTTCTTGAACCAAGTCCCCAGGCCGCAATTCCATGCTCTTGCCACACCCTACCTACGCTTTTCCCATGGAAAAGGAGGTCAGGGGTCTTCCCAGTTATGTTTGGTTCTCGAAGCAAACAAAAAGGAGACTTGTGGGAGTGGGGGAACATTCCTGAGCAGTGGTCTTAACCTTTGGGGAGAGTTAGACCCCTGGAAAGGTCATGAAAGTTATAGACTCTCCTCCCAGGAAACACAAGGCACACACAATTTTGCATACATTCTTGGGAGTTCAGGACCCTTGGGAACCCCTGCTTTGCAGAGAAAAGACGTTTAACGGGAAACAGAGGCCGAGTCAAATCTTTAGGCAGACAAGTCAGTCTTGCCTACAGTTCTACAGACAAGTTGGAGAAACAGAACTGAGAAAGGAATTGGATGGAAGAGGGGGCTAACAGGGTCCAGGCAGGAAAAAGGCAAGACTAGTTCTGGTGGACCACCACCACCGACAAAGCATTAAAGTCAAGTCTGGGGTAAAGAATCCTCTCCAGCAGTCAGGAAATGGGACTTTTCATCTTTATTTCTACTCAGAGGATCATTCCTGTTCGACCCCCAAATTAAAAGGGCTGATATGAAAAGGTATTCATTTACTGCTGAGCTTCTGAAGATCCTGCCCTTGAAGCAGTAAGGATCTGTGACTGCTCAAGCTCCACCAACCAAGGTGCTAAACCTTTAGACAAGTCTAATTCTACTTGGGGTTTTTTTTTCCTTTGGGGTTAGCCTGGTACGTGAAAGCCCTTCCAAAGAACACAACTTTAAAACAAATCCAACGTGAGATTTTAGACACTGGTTCATCCAGGCTACTTCCCTCAAAAGCTGGCACGTGGCCAGAGATGGAATCGTGGGAGCCTTAAACACACCCAGGGAGCAAAGCGTTTGCCCCTGCGGTCAGGGAGAGGGGTCTGGGATAAGGAAAAAGCCTGAGGAAGATATCGAGTTGAAGAGAGGTAAGGAGTGGACCGGGGTACTGGACAGGACCCGCGGAGGGCGGGGGTGCGGGAGGAAGGGGGGCAGAACTGGGAGGAAAAGGGGACGTCCTGAGGGACGCAATCACAGCGCGAGCGGGGCCTCAGACTCGTCGACCGCGGGCAGGGGACAGGACGGACGCCCCTTACCTCGGCCGGGTAGAGTTCTCGCGGCAGCACCACCTGCAGGTCCATGAACAGGGTGATGGGGATGTGGCTGAGGAAGTAGAGACCCAGCAGCAACTCCACGCAGCGCCTGGCGCCCAGGACCCCCATCATCCGTTGGTTGAGCCGGGTATTCGCGTGTGGAAAGACGGTCGGAGTCCGCGCGCTGTCTCGGGGCGGCGTGCCACGGTCGCCGCCCCGCCCCCTTGAGGCTTCGCAGGGTGCTCCCATTGGCTGTTAGACAAGGGGAAGCGCGCAGGCAGGGGGCGGGGCTCCTCGCGGGGCGCGTCCATTGGCTCGTCTGAGTATAGCGCGTGGAAGGCGCCCCGCAAGCGGTTTTCATTGGCCGTTGAGAGCGCCGCGTGGGCAGCCGCTCAGCCACGTTGGCCGGCGCGCGGGCGCGGCGTGCAGGCCCCGGATGGTGGGGGTGCGCCGTGGTCCGCAGGCTCAGAGCGGCCGGCGTGGTCCCTGGGCCCCGGGCGGCTGCCGGGTTCTCTCGTGAGTCTGTTCACTCACTCCGTGCGTGTAGTATTGACCAGCGCCTACCACGTGCTAGGCATGGCGCTCCCAACGCTTGGATGTCACAGAGCAGAGCAGGCCGGTCGGGGTTGGGGGTCTGGGGAGGTAGCCAGCCCAATTAAGAAAGAAGCAGGGGGACGGACCCGAGGGAGATAAAATTGACAGGACTTGGAGATTGGCTGTGGAGCATGAGGGAGGATCAAGAATTCATTTACCCATTCAGCAAATACTAATCTTCACCTCTATGCTAGGCCCAACTGCCATTTGCTAAGAAGAGACAGGAGAAGTGAGTTCACGGGAAAGAATTTGGTGTTGGCCTGGTTGACATTGGGCAGTCTCTGCAGCATCTGAGTGGAAGTGACCAGAAGGCAGCTGGGTGTATCTGTCTGGAGACCTAGATTAATGAGGCATCAGCAGTTGATGGCGAGCAGAGGGCCTGGAAGAGATCGTAGAAGAGCTCTAACCTCAGGGGCCATCGAGGAGTGACCGAGGTAGAAGTGGACAAGTAGGAGTGAAGTGTCACAGAGTAGGAGGGAAGGTCAGCCGCGTCAGGGCAATAGGCAGTGTTGCTCACCAGCAGCCCGGTGGCCAGGGCCAGGAGCCAGGTGAGGGAGTAGAGGCAGGAAGTGGGGAAATCTGGTCCTGAAGAGGAGGAGACATGGGGCCGTAACTGGAGAGAGATGTACTTGAGAGAGGGTGTATTTATTTTTCACATGAGAGAGACTTGAGCTTGTTTAGATGCTGTTTGATGTCTCTAGAGGAAGAGATCAGGAAATGTGGCTCAAGGAGGCAGAGGGAATGGAAGGATTGGGGTTAAGTAGATGGTCTGTGCTCCCCCACAGTGGACACCATGGGACTAGGGCAGCGGGATTGCTGGCAGTGTTGAGTGCCCAGTTGATGTGGGTGGCCATTGATCTGGAGGTCCCAGTCCCCTAGGCTGTGTGCTTTTCTCTAGTGTGGAGTTTGCTCAGAAAAAGGCTGCTGGACTCATCCAGAGGTGGGGTTCAGAAAGACAAAAGGTGATTTTGAGCACTTGAACAAGGGATTGGTTGAAGTGATGTATCGTGCAATTCAAGCTGGATAGGGAGAGATGTGAGGCCAAAGGGGGCTAGTAGACTGGGAGAAAGTGAAGTGAGTGGATTAGAGGCCCTGCTGAGGAAGCCTCCTAGGGAGTCAGTGGGCCAGAAGAGGATGCAGTGTCTGAATTCGTGGTGTCAGGAAGAGGTTCTGCCCATGGAAGGGTGGCTGAAATAGAATGCAGGGGAAGGTGTTGGAGATGAGGTCAAGGGACAAAGAGCCCAAAGGCCACCTAGGATGGTGGTGGTGATCAGGTGGCAAGAAGGCCAGTGCATAAGGGGAATAACTAGGAGGAAGGTGGCCATAGGCTGAGAGTGGAGGGGAAACAGCGTGGATGAGGCCTTGGGGAGCAGGGAGGCTGGTGACTCTGAAGAGCGTGAGAAAGAGAACAGCCTGTGGTGGAGAGGGCTATGAGGAAACTGAGAGCTAGGCGAGCCAAGTGCTCCCCTGGCTGCAGGAGGTGACACTGAGGGTGGGAGGGGTGTGGCTGGGGAGGAGGGGGTATTTTCCAGGGGAAGACAATCAGCAGGGTGGAAGAATACACATCAGGAGAGGGACATGGAGGTTCTTTGTGGGGTGGGGAGCGAGAGTGAGCATGGGTGGTTGGGCATTGTGAGAACACACAGTTCTGACATCCCCAGGCCTCTCAGGTCAGCCTTGACCAGGACCCCAGGGCCAGCCTCCAGGGTGAGGGAGGGACATTGATGCTGTTCCTGCATCAAGGGGGAATGGCTCGGTGGGGAGAACTGGTTTCCCTCTAAGAGAGGCTCAGACAGGGAGAACTCAGAACTAGCTGTTGCTTTTTTTCCAGAAAAAAACAAAAGGCTGAAGCCTGGGAAACTTTAGTCACCTGAGGAGAGAGACTGCTTTTCATAAAGTAAAGCTTTAAAAACAAGTTGCTCCTTCCTGGCCTCCTCTCTGGCCTCCAGGTCTGTGTATGTACAGTAGTCCTCCCTTATCTATGGTTTTGTTTTCTGTGGTTTCAGTTCCCCATGGACTGGAAATATTCAGTGGAAAATTCTAGAAACAAGCAATTCATAAGTTTTAAATCGAGTGCTGTTCCGAGTAGTGTGATGAAATCTTACGCCATACTGCCTCATCCTGCCAGAGGTGAATTGTCCCTTTGTCCACATACGCACTGTCTGCACTCCCTGCCCGTTAGTCCTCAGTAGCCATCTCAGTTATCAGATTGACTATTGAGGTATCACAGTGCTTATATTCACATAATTCTTATTTAATAATGGCCCCAAGGCACAAAGTGATGTGGCAATTTGGATATGCCAAAGAGAAGCTGTAAAATGCTTCCTTTGTGTGAAAAGGTGAAAGCTCTCGACTTAATAAGAAAAGAAAATGCTGAAGTTGCTAAGATCTACAGTGCGATATTTCAAGAGAGACCACATTCACATACCATGTTACAGTATATTGTTATAATTGCTTTATTATTTTTAATCTCTTGCTGTGCCCAATTAATAACTTTATCATGGGTATGTATGTATAGGAAAAAACAGTATATATAGGTTCAGTACTATCTGCAGTTTCAGGCATCCACTGGGGGTCCTGGAACACATCCCCTGTGCATAAGGGGGGACTGCCGTATACAGTTCCCCTCTCTCCCACTTATTCAAAGCATTCACCTGAAAGAAAAAATGAAGAGCCAGGAGGCTCTTATAATGTATAATATAATCTAGGGCTTAACACCTCATGAGAGGCATTTGTCCCAGGTCCCAAAGTGAGTGCCAAAGCAGGGACTAGAACCCTGGTGTCCTAACTCCCAGCCCCTGGTCCAGTCTTCTATCCCTGGGGCAGAGCAGTGTCCTCCCCCATAAGATCTCCAGGCCCTTCCAGACCAGGCCCAGGGCCAGGAGAGGCATGGACTGGCTGGCACATGCTGTACTCAAGAGAGGGCCTGGCAACAGTGTCCTCCTACCCCCACCACCTTGAATGGCTTTAAGGACATGGAGGTACCTTTTCATGTACATGAGTATGGATCCTTGTGGAACTCCTTGCTGATAATAACTGCTTGCTGGGCCAGGGAGTGTGAGCTGGGATTTGCCCAGTGAATGTAGTAAGTGTATAGCTGTGTGTGACTGCTCCTCAAACACTTCATCCAGCCAAGTCTGTTATATATAGATACAGATTTTCAAGGCCAAGCACTTTCAATGGAAGGTTTCTCTGTACAAAAAAAAAAAATCTGTCCAGCTGCTTTTGTTTTAAATTCCTTCACTGGGGAACCACAGCTCATATGAGGTCAGATAGGCCTTAGAATGCAAATAGCCCTATGAGGGGTCAACTGAGGAGGAGGACCTTGTGGAAAGAATGACTTACCCTTCCTTACTACAACAGTCAATGTTTAGCACCCTTTGAAAAGTATTTGTATTGTGATGAGACAAATACCGTTAGCCCAACATTGGACCCTATGGTAGTAGAAAGGGAATTCTAGCATTGTAACCCTAGCTGAAAGGTGAAGGCCAATGCCAGACCATCCACTTTCCTCTTTGGCAGCAAGTGTACAAAGCTCTTTCCTCACCTCTCTGCTTTTGCTTCACTTTCCTATTTACAATATATCCACCCTTCTCATCCCACTCCTGCCCATCTCCCCCATCCTTATGTATTCTAATGCCCTGTTTAAGGCCACCCCTCAATTGCCTCTCTTTGGTGGCACTGTGGCCTCCTCCAAAGCCCTGTAGCACTCTATGTCTTCAAAAGCTTGTCCCTTTCCACTCTGAGCAACATGGATCTGAGTATGTGTCCCTGGGCATGTTTCCCACTAGATCCTAGGTTCCTGGAAAACAAAGACTGGGCCTTATGCATCTTGATTTTAGTATCACAAAGCAGGGCTCACTGTTGAGTGAACTAAGTATGAAAGTTGGACTCCTCTGCACATGCAGACTATTATCTAGTGTAACTGGGAAGGGAACACAGTATAAGAAGAGCCAACCAATGGCACGATGTAGGCCTATCAAATTTCAAGAGGTTCTGGGACTGTGGAAAGTGATAAGACCTGAAAGCTGCTGTGGCTTCTATCAGCTGATGGCTTTCCACTTCAGAGCCCAGATACTAAAAACTAATTCACAAAAGCTACGATTCTGCCAGTGCTGGAGGCACAGCAAGCACTGTGTGGGGATATGATGATGATCTCTCTTGACACCTGTGGGTCTCACCAAGGCAGAGGGCAGCTGGCCAGCTGGCCAGCTGGCTTGGGCCATCTTGAGTGAGCACCCACTTTTCATGGTGGGGGTTTAGATTTTAAAAATATTGCATTAAAAGATCTTGATTACTGAGTTCTTAGCACACACTTAAATTTTGTGCCTGAGGTGACGAGTGGGGGGTGTGAAGTGGGGAGTCAGATGATCAGGTCTGGAAAGTCAGGAAGCCAACAAGTTCTTAAGCAAGGCAGTTTGGGATTGCAGCTGCATTTTAGGAAGATTCCTCTGGCTCCAGTGTGGAAGGTGGACTGATGGGGGAAGGCTGGAAGAGGTTGGTATTTGTATGAGGGGGGACCTCCCCAAAAAAACTGGAATTATCTTTTGGATGGTGGGCCCCTTGTAATATGGACTTCCTTTGCTAGGTAAGGTGTTTTAGAAACCCATCGGCATAGTGTTGTTGTGAGAGACTGCGTTTGGCTTTAGTGAATT